TTGCCGGAACCATGCTCCTGCCATTCTCTGCGTTGACCTCGGTGTACTCAATCTTTGATTGCTTTTTTAATGGGGAAATCGTCCGCGCATTGTCGTGATTTAAAGATTTCTAGGATGCTTAGAGACTTCAGAGTGAGTTATCACCATAATTAGGCAATCTCAGAAACCTTTTTAGGGCACTGTTAAGGGCCCCAAACTCAGACTCAACGCTGCAGCTCCAATGCCGCTGACCGTCGCGGAATTAGGAGTTTCACTTTTAATGCTTAACTTTAATTTTTGGTAATATTTAAGGGGGGGGGGGGGGGGGAGGGGGGGAGTCGCAGTTTATGTTATTAGCAATGCTGCTTGTTGGGCATGTTGGTGCTGAAACTTTGAGAACATGGTAGCATCATAGTTAATGTAGCCGGTCAGTATCGTAGCAATTGATCTGGCAGACAAAGAGATGGTAGTAATAGATCTGGCGGACGAAGAGACCCAGTTCTTGCGAACAGCAGCAGGGCAGGGTATTGGTTGAGTGATGCAGTGACGCAGAGTATTTACACCCATGTTTCTCTGCATAATAAACAGTTGAGGTTAGCGCATTGGGCTGTCCTGCTCTCCCTTCTTGTTCGTGTCTAAAAGCATTACCATGTTCTCAAAGTTATGGTATTATATACTTGAGTTTTGTGGGTTCATAAATCTTGGTTAAACACATTTTTATTCACTGACTTCTTAGCAGATATACTAGTTTTTCAGGACTTTTATGCAAGTGATATTTACTGGCTGTATTAACTATAAGCTTAAGAGAGGAATTGGGAGACACTTCATCTCAACTGAAGCATCTTTGCTACAATTATTTTTCAACCATTTTTTTTTCTTAATCCCCATTGTAAACGGAGCTTACTTGACCCGAGTTTTATTTCTAAAGAGTTTCGTGTGCCATGTGCTTTTTATGATTATTTATATGTGTTATTATAATATATTTCAATTTCAAAGATGAACCCCCAAAGCCTTATCATCAAATATTGGCTCATTTAGCAATCCAATTATTTAGTTTTGAAGTGATGTGGTGACACCGTGTTGGGACATGCTCCAAAAGGGTCAATGACTGCTTCTAACGGACATTTTGCCTGCTACAAAATGTGCAACAAAAAGTCAAACCCTGCTTTCATCACTGTGATTGGAACCATGCATTTGTTTACTAATTAACAAGTCAATTCATACAATTTTGGTAATTATTTTGCTAGTTAGTATGTTCTTTGCAATCTCTGATGTCCACCCTGGCTGGCACTATGTTCCCGAAAAGTGTTTTTTTTTTCTCTCAAAACAGCATGTTGTTAGGGATCTCTGAAAGTCTTTGCAGAAACAGCCGTTATATTTCAAACGACGTCTAGTATGCCCATTATTGTTTACAATGTCTGTAGCTTCCTGGACTACTTCATTGCATCAATGCCAAGACCAGAGGGGTTCCTTGGCGATCTAGGCACTGTTCTTTGAGGTCTAAAAGTTTGAGAACCTTTTTGCTAGACGATGCTTTGAGCTAGGCCTGGGAGATGAAGAAAGTGAGGACTGCACATGTGAGTTTCGAAAGAAGGCATTGAGCAAGATTGAGTTGCCGGTTAGGTCGCTTCTCTTTTCCAGACCGAACAAAAATCTCCTGCATCTGAGGTCGCAAGCGTGTTCTGTAAAAGCTTTCCTTTCGAAGCCAGCCCGAAGGGGGACTGGGTGGTTTGCTTAAAAGTTTGGTTAGCTGGAATGTCACAGATGCTATGTTTGGTCTCGAAAGTAATGAAAGAAAGCAACCGTGCAGCGGCTGAGCATCCCTGGTGTATTTCCAAAATGCCATAAGGATGCTCTGTTCACGGGGAGGGGGGGAGGTTAGACGAACAGATTTTGACATTATTCCTTTGCTGAGTTTAATGAAAGCCAACTCATTCAGAGTGCTGAGCGAGCCGAGTGTCCTCCAGCGAGATTGGTGGAAGTTGGATTCCAGACACCTCTTGCCAAACCTGTGTGGACGGGGCTTAATTCTGTGTGGGCAGACAATACTTGAACGGTAACCTCATTGTCCTTTTTGGATTTCAAGGTGGGAACTCCTTGCGCTTTAGCAGTTTTATTCGGATCGGGGAGATTCCAATAAAACTGACTGTGCAAATTTATTGTATCTCAAATCACTTTTAGCAGTCCCTCTGGAATTGTGCGAAGCATGATTTTGACTTTGGTCATGGTCAAACGCTAAGGAAGTAGCTCGGGGTGTGCGAATATTAAACATTTCGAATATGAATAAAATGTGAATAGTTAGCTTCAAATATCGAATAGTTGGAAGCAGATGCTCCTATTTGCATTTTTTTCATTCATATATTGGATCACCAGACTTCTGTTGACGAGAATGATGCATCTAGAGCTTGCGTCCTTTTTTCTGGAAGGGGCTTGGTATGGCACGCTCAGTCCATCAGCGTTGGTTGATTTTTTTTTTTGTGCACCAGCAGTAATCCTGACGCTCTTTCATGAGCGCTGCGTGCAGTTTCAGATGGTTGACAAGGGCATTGTGGCACCTGCTGGCCTTTGTAGTGTTGGGTTGGTTGTCCTCTGCCCCAACGATGCCATCGCCCTTGCAAAGTATTTTTAAACGGTGCTCCTCCCTCTTTGTTTGGCCGCCACTTCCCCGTCGTTTCCTCGCTTCGCAGACGGCTCACCAAAGTCACTTCCGTCTGTCATACTAGAATTGGGCGAGGCAGCGCTACACTGGATGCCCAACACTGCGATATTGAAATCAGTTGAATCACGGGTTAGGGAGGAATGCTAGAGCCATATGCTATTACCACCACATTGCCGAACGGTTGGCCCAAAGGCGGATCCCAGGCCGTCTAATTGGCTATGCGGTAGCAGTTTCGATGAGCTTCGTTCTTAGAAACCGTAGCAGACGGAACTTGCGCTTTAGAATATGTTCTTGATTGTTTGGTTTGTTTCAAATATCTGTATCATTTCAAGTATTTGAAAATTACCGAAGGTTCAGTTTACGAATCAAATATGAATAATAATCTATAATATTCTATTCGTGTAGGAAATTTCGAATATTCTCCCACCCCCCCTAGAAGTAACCAAATTGAGGGGTGACACTACCCAAAAAAGTGAATCCATAAACCGCTTGTCCGATTTAAAAGCCGTTTACAGGGCTTGTTTCTGTTGATGTTGAGAAGATTTCTGTCAAATTTTGTTAACCTGGGTGAAGTACAAAAAAATTGCAAAAGTTCAAAGATGAAAGTGGGCGTATCTGCATAGGAAAACTATCGTTTTGAAATTACTTGTAAATTTTGCAATTTCTTGTGTTATATTGCTTTGGGACAGTTCATAGCAGATAACTATGGAGCTATATTTCTATATCATACCATCTTTTATAACAAAAAAGTCACATATACACAAATACTGTTTTTTAGATTTCCATCCTTTGTCCAAAATTTTAGTTCTTGAGCATGAAAAATGACAAAAATAAAAAAAATACAAGCTCATAGTTATCTTCTTCTTAAAATTTCACCCCAGAAAAACTCGTAACAATTTATCCAAGTTACGTCAAACAAAACAATAGTTTTCCTGAAGTGAAATTTATGCCAAAAAGTGGAATGGAGAAAAATGCATTCAAAGTGCTCCAACATCTAACTTTTCTTCACCATCGGTGGATGAAAAATAATTTAATTGACTATGCAGTGTGAACTAATGAAACTTTCTGAGAATACTCTCTAGATGTTGGTGGATGTAAATATGACAATTTCCAATATAAACTTTTTTGTTTAGAAATTGTTTTTTTCTGGGTAGTGTCCCCCTGAAGATGTCTTTGAAAGGGTCAAACGGGACGCAGACATTCCGCCTTGATTTTAATGCGGACCGCTCTGGACATCACGCCGACGAAAACCACCATAGTCGCTGGCGGGGTGAGAGCTGCAGGAGGGAGCGCAAGTTGTCCCGCCCCCAACGAGAACTTCCTGCCTTTGGTAACGCCCTGGCGTCTCTCGAGCCCCGTCGGTATCTCCTTTTCAGCAGCCATAGCAGGGCTCGGTGCTATTGGGACCAGATGCTCTGGCCGTGTTTGCTTCTGGCAAGGAGACGAGTCGTGGGAGAGTTTTCAGTCATATCCAGACTACTTGCATCTACATTGCAACTTTGAGGACGCCACTAAAGGTCTATGCACACTATGCATGTTGTTGACAAATGTCTTACCGCGAAGCTAGGTTTCAGGAAACAAGATTCTCTGTTTGAACGCCACTGACAAAGTGGTGCGCCTCCGAAAAAAAATGGCGCGTGCTCGTCGCTTTTGGAGCAACCTTTTGGTGAAACCTCACCGAGGCCTGTCAATCACCTGAAGGAGAGACGCAGACGCTGCTAATGGCTTCTCAACTTCGCTATGACGTCTGACCTTCGAGGCGTAGTGAGCTTTTGGAGGAGTCTGATTTTTGGCCGATTCCGTATTTGAGCCAAAGCCGAAAAGAAAAACAAACATGGTGGCGAGCGACAAGCGGGGGAGCGGTGCATACGGGCGGTATATGTTGGCAGTACGGGTGGGTGGCGTGGTGCAGATTTATCACCAGTCGACGAGTGCAAGCACTGCATATAAACATGTTGACAGGGGATAACTTCGCGATGCAAAAATGTTTGAAATGCTTCGAGATCATTTGCCTGTTCTTTGACGTTCGCTGTCTTTCTTGGGTTTAACAGGCCTAGAAAACCCAGTGAGCCGAGTCTGGCGAGGTTTATAGAGTGGTATTAATAAAGCAGCTGTCTCTTCACGCTGTGCATACTTCATATCATTTTTATGCGAAACGCTTGATATTCCTGTTGCAGATGACAAGGCTTGGCGAAATTCTTGTGAGTCAGTACGGTGTAGGTTTCGCACATTCGCGAAGTCTCGGTTTCTCTAAATTGTGTCGCATTGAAAAGATGCATCGTGTGAATAAGCCTTTAGGTCGTGAAAAGTTGCCTGATCTCTTGCGAGCCGAGGACACTGAAAGCCCCCATTTTCCTTGAAGGTGCTCCACGACGCTGAGGAACATGGAAGGGTCGTTGCGGCGCAGCAGAAGAAGATGCGGACGTTCGAGGAATCGTTGAAGTCGAAGAAGACGGTGGCGTCGATGATCATAGACAACAAGAAGGACGCAAAGCCGGCCGTCAAGGCCAAGGAGGCAGCTAAGAAGAAACCCGAAGGTACTGGTGTCCCGTCCCCTGCAGTTTCCGTGCACCTAAATATGTTTGCGCCATTCAGTAAACATGATTCTTTTTTTAAGTTGCTTATAAATAGATTGATTCCTATAGCCTGTTTGTTTATGCCACCACTGCCGCGATGCGTCGAGGGCAGTTTAGTCTTTCTACACGTGAGACAACTTTGCCGGAGCTTTGTGTGTGCCGAGCACAAGGTGGCACAAGTTGTCACGTGCACTGTGGCCTGCCTTGTGTGAACTAAACTTACGACGGCGTCACGCACGTGCTGAATGCCTGGTGGGACGGGTTTGTTGTAGGGTAACTTCCTTAAACTTTCATTCTGGTCAGTTGCCTGGTTGCTTCAAAGGCATGCATGTTTTAAAAAGAAGCAAGTAAGTCTTTGTGTAGATGTTAAATATTTTTCAACTTGGTAATAAGTCTCCTCAAGCTCTTGTACAATTAAGAAGATGTGAACTATCTTCTGCAGTCAATGAATATGTGTTAACCCTTTGGTGGTCGAGCTAGCTTTTTTCCCTAAGAGGTGTGTCCCTGTGATCAGGTTTTGTTTCCAGAGGAATAGTATGAAAAAAATTACTTAAAGGTAACAGTGCAAAAGATAACGCACACTCATACTACACGCAGACCGTCAAAGAGGAACCTCTGACATTGCACTGACTTCCAACCCTGGGTCGTATTTTCGTCCCTTTTCGACACTGTGCGTGTGGTCCGAGTATGCGAGTTATTTTTTGCGGTGATCGACGTTTTCCAAGCGGCGTCATGAAATGAAATTTAGGTTGGAGAAATATGTTGTGCTATCTCGTCTGTAGTGAAAGAACTGTAGTTTTGGTTTCAGCGTAGGTTTGAGCTCTATCGCGAGCTGGTCGGCTGTCAAAAATAGTCCTTGGAATGGTGGTTGCACTTGTCTGATATGGCCATCAGCTTGCATCAGTCTTTGTAACAAAGATGGCAATATTTACATATTTCAAATGTATCGTGGCATATTTTTTAGGCCTCAAAAGCTACGGGACATTCTAAATGATGTTATAGACGTCGTTTAAGAGATGGTTGTCGGTAAGCATCACTGTAATTTCCGATGCTGTCGCGGAGCCGGCGTGCACGTTTTATGTACCCAACAAGGTGGACAGAAATGATAAATATGAAGGAACTGCAATTAAGGCTAGGACAAAATCAGGGTAGAACACAAAGACAGCATTCTGCTGGGGATGTAAGGTGTACTGTCTGTGTTTCATCAATACAAGCATTCCTTCATTGAAAAGCACACATGTTGCGGAGGTCAACTCTTTGACGAACCGAAAAAAGACGTCAGAGTGCACTAACTTTCAGAAGTAATAACCGTGGGTGTGGGGCACATTTTGTATATTCAGAATTTTTCTTTTTTTGCCGTTTAATTTGACATAGCTGTAGAAGTTTCGGCGTTTATATGCCTTCTGCATGTACATTGTATTTCAAAAAATAAAATAATCAAATCTGTTTTCCTCATTATGTTAACCTCACTTTCTTTTGAAAGAACAGCTAATTGGCCACATTTTGATGTGCCATTAGCTCCATATGCAAATCGGTTCAGAAAATTAAAGCGTTTTTACAAATCCTTTGACAAGAAATGCTACTTTTCCTGTGGGGAGGACAGAGTTAAGGTTCCAGGTGTTTTTATGGCTCATTGTTATTAATATTTTGCTTCCAAACTCGCCGAACAATCATTTCCTCTCCCTTCTTACTGCCATCATTCCAGAATATTATGGAAATTTTTACGGGTAGCTAAAAAGAGTTCTTAAAAGAATTCCTTCTAGCTATTGATACTTTTATAGAAGTCAGCGCAATGATACTGGTTTGTCGTAGTGCACCCTAAGCCGGTCATTGCCGTCGACAAAAAGTGGTGAATTGACGGGGTAGCGATTCTTTCCGTTTCAAGATGCTGCACAATATTTCCAAAGGACAGAAGGTGGCACTCTTACCTGTGCCGTGCAGCTAACATCTCTTTGTGAATACTTCACAGGTGCCTCGTCATTTTTTTTAATGTTAATTTCTTCTCACTCCCAAAGAGAGAAGCAACCTTGGGGTCAGTTCAGGGGCGGCTGTGTTCTGGATGAGCACAAAATAAAGTTGTAGATAGAGTTGTTTTTTTTTCTTTCTGGGAAGCTTAGGGCAGCTCCCCTTCGGGTTTTTTTTTAAGTTTCCCCGACTTTCGTAAAACCGGTTTGGGGGTTATCCTTCGGAGTTCGTTGGTGCCAAGATCACGAAACCCTGGCTGTAGGTTCCAATAGCACCCCAATGGTTCGCCTTGAGGCACTCAAATCCCCTCGATGCCCCTAGGTGGGGTCCAATGTCGGCATTGCTGAAACCTCGTTTTTTTTTCAGGTGGATCACTATGAGGCCAGTAACCCCAGTTTTAAGCCGTTGCCTGTGGAGCATCCTTTAAACCTGCAAAGTGTCTCGCTGCAAAAGTGCCTCGAATGTGGGGACTTCTCGACAAACTTTGGCTAGGCTAGGGACCCTCGAGGCCAAAGACTTGAGAACCGCTCGGGCAGTTCGGCCTTTTCTGTTCGAGTGATTGGGTTCACACTCTGGAATGCCGAGCCGGCGACTGGCCAAATTCGGAACGTTCTTGGGCTAGAATTGAGGATGAATGCGAGCGGGAGCCAGACGCAACGCATACTCCGTCCCGCGACTCATACTGAGCTTTGGTAAAAACGGAGGGTGATCACCCTGCGTTGTTCAGTTTTTTCATATTTTGTTGTACTCAATATTTCTCTTGGAAACAGAAGTTTAAGGGGACACACCCTCTAGGAGGCTGAACTTTTGAACCCTTAGCTTAAAATTAATGAAAGTTAAAGTAGGCTGACGGTCATGCTAGAGGTTGCATAACAAAATTTCAGCTCTGTCGGTTAAATGGGAAGTAAGTTAGAGCAGCTTCTATCAGCAACAAGCTTATATTGTTTAGTCAATCTATCATAGGAAAACTATCACAATATTTAAGATTTTTATTCGTTAGATATGTAGTAGAATGTCTAGGGGGTGGGGCTAGTGAAAATTTTTTTGTCAAAAGTCATTTATTTTTATAAATTTTATCTTCTGCAAAATTGATAAGCTTTTTGGTCTTCTGTGTCTTCCACGAAAATGCCAACGTTATTTTTATAAGACATCCATAAAGTGACAAAACAATTCCATAGCCTCATTCCTTATTAAATTTCAGTCAGCAAAAGTGAAGACCGAGCCTTCCCTGTATTGCCATTATCAAATAATAAATTGACTAAAATGGAATTATAATCAAAAAGTGGAACGGAGAGAAATGCGTTCAAATTGCTCCCACCCCTACCTTTTCTTTAGCTTTGGTGGACAGAAAATAATTGATAAAAAATTAACTGTGCAGTGTAAACTAATTGAACTTTCTGGGAATAGTCTATAGATGTTGGTAGATCTAAATATGTCATTTTTCAAAATCAACTTTTTTTGCAGAAATTTGTTTTTCTGGGGGGGGCTCTGCAAGGACCTTTTTATTGGTTTTTAATTTTCACCGAACCTGAGCGCACTGAACGTAGTAATTAATGAAACTTTTCTTTTCTCGAATTTCGCTTTTTATTTTAAAAGTTATAGGCATATTAAAATCACAAGAACGAGCAAAAAATAACCTCCTTCATGATGTCCTTGGTTGCTTGAGTGGCCGTGAACTAGACGGGGGTAGTGCGCTCAGCGAGCGGTCATGGCTGCCGCACTCCGTGTCGACGGCCCGAGAGGGCGCTACTGAAGCATGCTTTGGCTAGGCTGTATGAAGCGGGCAGCCAGGGTGGCTTGTATTGCATTTGCTCCGCGATTAAACACTAATTCGGCATGGCCACAAATGACAGCAAACACGCGGTAAAGATCAGTTCAGGATGGGAGCCACTTCGCACTGCCATACCGCCAAAAGGTCAGACAGCAAGCCAAAGCTGCTCGCCAAAGGCTTTGGGAACGCTCGGAACCGGTCGGATCCTCCAGTCTGTACGACCGCAGCGCCACCGCGTACATCCGGGACCTTTCTATGCTCGCCGTCCGGTGGCGCCTAATCCGACTACACCTTTCTAATATGCGCCGCCTTTTCCACCATTTGGTGGCGGCAGGTATGTCGACGGGTCATTTCTTGTTTCCGTACTTTATAAACTGCATTTGTTTCTTTTCTGGTCTAAAATAGCGAACAAAAACTACTTTTATAAATAATTGAAACGGTTCGCGCCACTTATATTTTGTATTTTGACAAAAAAGAAGCTTTTAGCGGCTCTGACCAGTAGTAAGCCCAGGACCTAAGACATCACATATCGTGCGCTTTCGGCACCGTGGGTTGCCCCCTTAGGTAAAGGAGGTTTCCGCGTCGTCTGGTTAAAATATGACGCACTGATATTTAGTTACTCTTTTTGTGCCCGCTGGCTTGCCCGAACCCTGAGGGACATGGAAACAGCAAAAAAGGTAGACGTTTAAATATGATTGCAGGGCCCCTTTAAGAAAATAGGGGAGCAAACAGGTGCAGTCAAACACACAGATGTGTCTACTGTCTTTTGATCACTGTCCTACGCTTTTTTTTTCAGGTTGTACTTTTTCTAGGCATTATTGGTATGTTTCTGCCTCACTGTATGGGCTCCTCTTCTGCATTTGTGTAATTTCTGTTTGTCTTCCTGTCTGGGGTGGGCAGTGAAGAAAGAGCCGGCACCGGCTGGGGTCCTCACGAACGGTGACAGCTGCGGAGATCTGAACGACGATGCCATCATGAAGAACAGGCAGAAGCTGTTTGAGAAGCTACAGGGCAAGAAGAAGACGGAGAAAAGGTGCGCCTCTTCATTCTTTTTTATTCTCCGTTGTTAGTCAGGTTCACTTCAGGCACAAATACGGTCAAACCCGGACATATTGAAATGAAAGGGTGTTCGAAAAATTGATATCACAATGTACCAAAAGGTGGTAATACAGGCCCCAATTTAAACTCTAGCTTGCACCTCTATTGAGCTCGATATCGTGACAAACAACAACTTGTCGATTGCGCATCCGAGAACCGCTAAATCAACCAACGCTCGACGACGGAAACCATTTAGCAGATAATAGACTCACGACACGATCAAACCCAGATCGACAACAAAGATTTATGTCGGAGAAAAAGTAACGCGGAGCTTGGCTCGCTTCTCGTTCTGGGCCGTAAAGTTCACCGCGCCATTCTCTGTCTCGTCGAAGCTGTGAACTACGAACGATGCCTGAACGCTTTCACGGTCTTTATGTCGTCGTCGACAGAGTCCAACATTAAACATTGATGTGTCATCCGGGGAATAACAAGCAAAGGATGACTCCACACGGGGTTGCACTAGACGAACACATGCCGTGTCGACAAGGTTGGTGGAAACTGACGGGCAGTGGACACGACACGCTCTGTAAAACTGGGGAAAAACTGGATGTTTTGACTCTTGAATGATAATTCTAAATGTCCCAATTTGGCTTGACGGGACTCTATCGTGTTATGCCTAGGACCGCTCGAAAGTCATGCCTGGAGCAGTTGGCACAAGTCAGACTTGCAACAGCCTCCAAAATGAGTCTGAGGGTGAAAGACGGAGAGCGGAGGAGGGTGATAGAAAGATGGCTTTCCACAGGCTTAGTTGGCAACAAAAAACCAACAAAAAATTTACTGCTTTTTTTTTTGGTTGCCTTGGGGGCTTCAAGGCAAGGTGCCGGCCTACGGATCCTCAGGTGGCGTGTTCGAATCCCATTTGAGATGCCCGCAATCTGATGGAGGCCTTTATGCGGAGCGCAAGTTTGTCTGGTTTTTTTGCAGGGGTTGTGGTGACGTCAGTACGCCAAGTTCTGATTGGCTCTGATTGAAAGACAGTGGGTAGACATCAAAGCAAGCTGCATTGAGGTCTACCCACTATCCTAAGGGCAGAACCAGTCGGAGCTTGGTGTTCGGACGCAGGGGCGGATCCAGAACTCCGTTTTGGGGCGGGCCGAAAATTTGTAAGGATACTATTCTCCCATACTTTTGAGTCCACCCGTGTCTAATTGCCCTTCGACAAGGGGGGAGGGTGGGGGTTGACTTTGTTTGGGGGGGGGGGGGGGGGGGGGAAGGGTGGCCGCCCCTGTCGCCCCCCCCCCCCCCCCCCTTGGATCTGTTTCTGTTCAGACGTCACCACAATTCCTGCGGAAAGAAGCAGACGAACTTGCGCTCCGTGTTGCGGAGAAGGCGCCATGTAACCGAGCTGTTGGTTCCATGTCAAAAGATCCGTGGGTGGTTGAAATTGATCCTCAGTCCTCCGCTGGGGCTTGCCAGATGCTCGTCGTTGGCTTGGCAACTAAAGCCCCCAAATTTGATTTGATTGACTACATTTTTTGTTAGAATTATAAATGACTGCATATAGAGATGGCTGGATGTTAAGGCAACTTTTTGCCACACTTGATTACTAATTTTTCACACTTTTTGTTTGTTGATAAGACTTTTGTGTTTTTGGTGCTTGTGATTGCAATTTTCTCGAAGATCACAGCTGACACCTTTCGAGTTGCAGCAAATTCTAGATTAAAATATTGACTTTGTGGCGACGTCGGTGTAGTCGTAGCCACATGCCAAGGCGGTTTCTCAGACGAGAAGAAGCCGACACGAGATGGAAGCGGCAAGCACTATCGGGAATCAGATATCTCTCCCCGGCCTGCCTCCCTTTGAGAAACAAAGAGAGCCGCCAGGACGGAGAGACGCGTTGCGAGGAGGACCGGAAAGGAGGATATCGTCGGGGAAGAGAAAGAAGAAAGGGACCCCGACGAGTCGATCCCAGATGCTGTCCGTCCGGCACAGGTGTGGGGACCACGATCGGTCCTCCCGTTCAAGTTGAAAATAAAATATTGTTAGAGTTTACAAGCACATTGTCCTCGTCCTTTCTCTCCGCTTGGGGACGACCTGAACTCTACAGTGGTGACCCGGTTTTGCAAAACAACCTTACGCAACAGCCTCAAGCCCCGTCATGCCGGACACTGACCCCACGCCATCCGGCAGCATCTCGGCAGTCGCCCTCAAGCTGTCTGCCTTCTGGCCCGCGGACCCGCAGCTGTGGTTCGTCCAGGTTGAGTCGCAATTTGCGACTCGGATCACAGCGGACATGACAAAATTCCACCACGTCGTATCCAGCCTATCCCCAGCCATCGCCACGGAGGTGCGAGACCTGCTGATCACACCGCCAGCAGAAGACGCCTACAACACATTAAAGGCACAGCTCATTCGCCGGACCAGCGCCTCGGAAGAAAAGCGTCTCCAGCAGTTGCTCACTGCCGAGGAACTGGGCGACCGGACGCTTACGCAGCTGCTGCGTCGAATGGAGCAGCTCCTCGGGGACAAGGCGTCTACCATCGACGCCTCGCTCCTCCGCGAGCTATTCCTGCAGCGGCTACCAAGCAACGTGCGGATGGTGCTCGCATCGGCAGGTGACATCGGCCTTGCCAAGATTGCTGAGCTCGCGGACAAAATCATGGAGGTCGCGGCGCCATCACCCAACATCTCAGCAGTCCATGCCCGCGGCATTCCGGACGAGGTACGTGAACTTCGAGCTGAAGTCTCTCGCCTCGCTGACATGGTGGCGCAAATGCAACCTCTCCGCGGCCGCAGCACGTCACGCGGACGCCCTCGACGACAATCTCGCTCATCGTCCCGTGCGGACTCCGGCGACTGTTGGTACCATCAACGGTTTGGTGCTTCAGCTCGCAAGTGCGAGCCTCCATGCTCGAAGTCGGAAAACGCCAGGGCAGAGCACTAACGGTGGCAAGTGCTCCCGCCGCTCAGGACAGCCGCCGATCATTGTTTTTTGTGGCGGACCGCACCACTGGCGTACGTTTCCTCGTGGACACCGGAGCAGAAGTTAGTGTCGTCCCTGCAAGCGCACAAGATCGCCAGCACCCCAGTACGTCGCAGCTCCGGGCCGTCAACAACACGGTCATCCCGACGTACGGTGAGCAGTCACTGACTCTCGACCTCGGACTACGGCGGACTTTCCGTTGGGTGTTTGTATGTGCGGCTATCCCGCACGCCATTATCGGAGCTGACTTCCTGACGCGCTTCGGGCTACTGGTGGACCTCAAGGGGAGACGTCTTCGAAACGAAGCGACAAGTCTTACCATACAAGGCATCCTGTCGTCCCTGCAATCCATCAGCCCCACGTTCGCGGTACCGGCTGAGGAGTCGCCGTACGCCAAGCTGCTCGCCGAGTTCCCGGAGCTGACGCGTGTTGGACCCGACGAGCGCCCCATCAAACACACCGTGACGCACCACATCGAGACGTCAGGCGCTCCGGTTCACGCGCGTCCACGCCGACTGCCACCGGACAAGCTACGTGCCGCCAAGCAACAGTTCGAGCACATGCTGGAGCTGGGAATCGTCCGCCAGTCGGAGAGCTCCTGGTCCTCGCCCCTCCACATGGTCCCCAAGTCCACACCCGGGGACTGGCGCCCGTGTGGAGACTACAGAGCCCTCAACCGGATCACATCCGAAGACCGGTACCCGATCCCGCATATTCATGATTTTACAGCATCGCTTGACGGCAGTACCATCTTCTCCAAGATAGACCTGGTACGTGCATACCACCAAATACCGGTCGAGCCCTCGGACATTTCGAAGACAGCAGTAACAACGCCCTTCGGTCTCTTCGAGTTCGTGCATATGCCGTTCGGACTAAAAAACGCCGCACAGACGTTCCAGCGCTTCATAGATCAGGTGTTGCGGGGCCTCCCATACTGTTACGCCTACATTGACGACATCCTTGTGGCAAGCCAATCTGCCGACGAACACCTCGGACACCTCCGAACCCTCTTTACTCGCCTCGCCGAGTACGGAATTGTCATCAATGTGGGCAAGTGCGTGTTTGGCAGGCCGGAACTCGACTTCCTGGGACACACGGTGAACTCTTTCGGAATCCGCCCACTCAACAGCAAGGTCCAGGCCATCCAAGAGTTCCCAAAACCGACAACAAAGAAACAACTCCGAGAGTTCCTTGGCATGATAAACTTTTATCGCCGATTTCTCCCGGGCTGTGCCGAGAAGCTGCAGCCGCTGCACCGGATGCTCTCAGGCGCGAGTAGCTCCACTGCAGAGGTAACTTGGGACGAGTGCACTACATCGGCATTCGACTGCGCCCGACAGCTCCTCGCCACCAGCACCATGCTTACGCACCCCAAGGAAGCCGCCCCACTTTCCGTAGTCACCGACGCTTCGGACAACGCCGTCGGTGCAGTGCTTCAGCAGAAAGTCAACGGACAGTGGCAACCGCTCTCCTTTTTCTCCCGGAAGTTAACACCCACTGAACGGCGGTACAGCACCTTCGGTCGCGAACTACTCGGTGTTTACCTGTCTTTACGACACTTCAGGCACTTCATAGAAGGTCGCACATTCTTTGTGCTGACCGATCACAAGCCCCTCGTCCACGCTTTCCAGTCTCTGAGATCGGATGGCGGCAGTCATTCCCAGAGAGAGCTGCGGCAGATGTCCTCCGTCTCGGAATTCACATCCGACATCCGTCATATCCACGGCGCAGACAACGTCGTTGCGGATGCTCTCTCGCGAATAGGCGCCTGCACCGTCGACTCACTAGCCGCCATCGACTTCGAGAGATTGGCAGAGGTACAACGCGAGGATGCACAACTGCGCGACCTCCAAACAACACCCGGCAAGCTCGTTTTCCGCGCGGTTCCCCTTCCTTTGTGTCCTGTCAACCTCATCTGCGACACATCGACGGGATACCCGCGCCCATACGTGCCTCAGCAGTTTCGTCGCCAGATTTTCGACTCGCTTCATGGACTTTCTCATCCCGGTATCAAGACCACACAACATCTTCTAACATCCCGGTTTCTGTGGCCCAGTATTAACAAGGACGTACGCCAGTGGGCCCGCACCTGTTTGCAGTGTCAACGCTCCAAGATTCAGCGCCACACTGTAACACCACTGGGAAAGTTTGACCAACCTGACGCGCGGTTCAACAACATCCACATAGATATTGTGGGACCGCTGCCACCATCCCAGGGACAGGCGTACCTGCTGACGTGCATCGATCGTTTCACCCGCTGGCCGGAAGCGATCCCGCTGCCCGACATCACCGCGGACACAGTGGCACGCGCTTTCGTCGCGCAGTGGATTTCGAGATTCGGCACGCCCTCGACAGTCACCACAGACCGAGGCCGCCAGTTTGAGTCCAATCTCTTCTCCAGCCTCATGAAGCTGCTGGGGTCGAGAAGGATTCGAACGGCCGCCTACCATCCCGCCAGCAACGGCATGGTGGAGCGCTTCCACCGTCAGCTCAAAGCCGCCCTCAAGGCCCATCAGCGCCAAGACTGGATGGAGGTGCTGCCACTCGTTGTGCTCGGACTGCGCACAGCACTAAAAACTGACATTGGCTGCAGCGTCGCGGAGCTGGTCTATGGAACAACCCTTCGACTCCCGGGCGAATTTTTCGAGGCCGTGCCGGCCGCTAATTGTCCCGACCCCACAAGCTACGCCAACCAACTCCAAGAGGCCATGACGCAACTCCGCGCCACATCACCGCGTCAAAACCACGGCCCGTCTTCCTTCGTAAGCAGTGAATTGGCGACCTGCACGCATGTTTTTCTACGAAATGACACCGTGCGGAAGCCCCTTCAGGCGCCATACGACGGGCCGTACAAGGTGCTGCGGCGAGGATCAAAGAATATGACACTTGCAATCCGCGGACGCCAGGAAGTTGTTGTGTTGGACCGCGTGAAACCGGCCTATCTTGATAGCGCCCCATCTGCCACGCCGGCTCCTGTTACACCCCCGCCGGAAAGAACATCGCCCTCATCAGACGCTCTCCCTCCTGCCGACAGCTCGTGCGCTGGCGCTCCGCAGGTAAGGCCAGACAGCTGAACACGTTCCGGCCGCCGCGTCTGGCCAGCACGACTTGGCATCACAGACCATTCGACACCGAACGCTCCCCTCCTCCGTTCACCCCACAAGACGCCCCACGGGCCCTAACGGCACTCAAACGCTCGCCCGCTCACTGGGGGGGAGTACTGTGGCGACGTCGGTGTAGTCGTAGCCACATGCCAAGGCGGTTTCTCAGACGAGAAGAAGCCGACACGAGATGGAAGCGGCAAGCACTATCGGGAATCAGATATCTCTCCCTGGCCTGCCTCCCTTTGAGAAACAAAGAGAGCCGCCAGGACGGAGAGACGCGTTGCGAGGAGGACCGGAAAGGAGGATATCGTCGGGGAAGAGAAAGAAGAAAGGGACCCCGACGAGTCGATCCCAGATGCTGTCCGTCCGGCACAGGTGTGGGGACCACGATCGGTCCTCCAGTTCAAGTTGCAAATAAAGTATAGTTAGAGTTTAAAAGCACATTCTCCTCGTCCTTTCTCTCCGCTTTGGGACGACCTGAACTCTACAACTTCAAACATGGAGTCCTTCGTGTCATTGTCATTTTGTGACTCCATTGGCACAGTACTTAAGAAGAGTTCCCTATGTTCTATTTTTTTGCAAGCTTAATATTTAGTTACATGAACTAGACATTAAGGTTTGTGATTTCCAATGTTTATTTTGCACATGGGGAAGTGGCCACTGTCTCACCAAGATGAGAAAAGGTGTGTACTGGTGTCCGGTGTGTAAGAGTAGGGTATTTATAATTTCTGAGGAGGTTGCACGAAAAAAATGGATAGGAGACCACAAAAGCGAGTAGAAATGCAGTAGTCTTGTATGCAGGAAATCTGATATTCTTTATTTGGTTGCTCGAGCTTTCTCAATCGTATATTCTTAGTAAGGCACAGATATGACATCCAGCTTGTACACTTAGCAGTACTTGCATACAAGACTTCTGGGGTAAAGTAAATATGAATGTTGAACAGTCCGTAGTCTCTTCCATGCCCATCCATGTACACCCATATGACAGAACAATAACCGAAGTACAGTGATGTTTTTTTTATAAACACCAAAAACCACAAGCGTTACTTTTGCCTGCTTGACCGTGACAAGGAGCCTTCCATGTTTTCATGGCCGTCATTTAAACGAGCGGCCGGGTGCAGCTGCAAGAGTCCCACCGCGACCAAGGACAAGTCCAAGAAGCCGAGGATCTGGGAGCACGGAGGCAAGTCGTCGGACCTCAAGACGCTGGACTACAGTGAGGGCTTGTCCCAGGACGGCGATGACCCCGGCCGCTCCGAGGAGTTGCTGACGGCCGAGTCGGTCAGTTCTTACCTCAGTAAAGTACGGTACAGTGCGAGAGGTAAATGCGACGGGCAAGATACGCACGGGGGTCTCAGTATGCGTCCATCTTTAGCGTGCATGTTTTTCTGCCTCGGGGCTTTGTCAGAACGGAGCCAGCTCGATTGTCTTGACACCAATCTGCATTCTGACGGAAGCCGACTCAAATTTCGTGCCCATCCGAATCATGGCTTCGGACGGATGCGGAGGGTAGTGGAGGTAGCCGCCTACCAAACCCTCGCACCGTCAATTAAATATGCATGCATGCATGTGTCAACACGTCGTGAATCGCCCCACCGGACATTCTTCCATCTCTGCATTCTCTGTCGTAAGAAGAGGTGGGAGAGGACGCCGAGGCAGTGGAAGACCCAATCGTGTGCGCCAGCAAATTTCGAACGTGAGCATTGGCTGTGTTTTTTTACATGCGATGGTTTGGTCGATAAATTGAAATGCTGCCGCAGATTGTTCCAGGTATCATTCGTTACCCTAGCGGTCTACTGTCAGGCTGTCTGTTAGCTTGGGAAACTAGCATTCAATAAGGAACTTTGTCATTAACGAAAAGGGGAGATAACTACCGTAACATCCCAGGTCATCGTCCACCCCCTGCCGTCTAAAATTCATTAAAAAAAAAGGGTGGGCTATGTCTCTATGGGTAAGCACAAAAATATAGAAAAAGCAAAAAAATGAAAAGCCCATTTCTTTGTACGTGCCTGGCGTGCCTGCACAAGAGATACATTAAACTCAAAACATAAATTAGTTTCATGCGCTGGGGAAGCGGGAAAGCCAGCGATTGTGTTGGCAAATACTTTGGCGTCGAGCCAAGTTGGCCGCCTTGTCATTTGAAAGATCTTGTGCAACTTTCTTGTTTGGCAGATACATGCGTGTGTCCATGTATGGCGTGCTATTAACACAAGCTGAGGCGGCGGCGTTGCTGTGCGGCGTGGACGGTACCACGAACACAAAGCTCGAAATAGGATGCTCTACAAACGCCTGTGTGCAGCATTTTAGCAAATCTTTATTTACCCGTTGGCTTTGTCTTAAACGTTGCACAAACTTACAACCGTGGTCACGACATTCCGGGAGGAGGAGCGTCCTTACTTTGGCAGAAACATACTTTGACCTGGGTTACTGCTCTTGGTGTCTTTCCTACCTTTTTTTTTTCTTCAAACAAAATTTTTTGTAAGCAAAACAAAGTTTTACTTTGTTATATTCATCGTTTTTTTTTTCACACACATCTACTACGACTTTGGGATCACGGAAATCTGGGACAAAATGGGTAAACAGAAACAAGTGTTTTTGCCTCCTTCGTTTTACTTAGTAACGGACGTCCTCCTACCGCAAGGTCCGCGTCCACACCATTGATGAATGTTTGCGGATCGTGGAATCCACATTGGGGTATTTGTAGTTGTGGACTATCACTTTGTGTTTTTTAGAATTCGATATTCGTCCAAAAAGTCGGGTGGGCGATGACTTGGGGATGGGCGATGACTCTGAACATTATGGTATGTACTATTTTTGTTCATTTGTGTCCGTATCATAAACTCGCAGCACCTGGCAGACTTGCAAAAGGTCGAAAAAATCTTTGCAAGTCGCCACAATACTTGCTCCTGTAATCATGTGCTGAAATCTGGGGATATGTTCATTTCATGTGTACATTCCTCTTTCATGCACTGCATCTCCTAGAATGCCCTTGCGAGAAGTCCGCTAAAATAAGCACTATTTATTTTAGCGAACCTTCGTGACTTATTTTGAGATGAGCCTAGAGAAATCTTTTAAGCATTGAAAAGGTAGCTGAAAGGGCGTGCGTATGAGACAGATACTTAATACATCGCTAAATGGCCTTGCAATTTCTCTTCCAATTTTTTCTAGGTGTCAAAACAGTAGCTGAAAAAGTGTGCGTATGAGGCAGATTCTTAATACTTTGCTGAATGGCCTTGCAATTTTTCTTTCAAATTTTCCTCTTCTGAATTGCTAGGTGTTGACCACAGTACCTACTAACCTCTTACCTTAATATCTCGAGAGGTAGCAACCCATCTAAAATCGAAAGCAAATTGGATGAAAATAAGGAGCAAATTTAACTTTTGGTATGTGATGAAAGAAAAAAAAGTAAATATTTCTAGTTTTTTATTTTGTGACCTGCGAAACTTGTGATCGCAGAAAGGAGCAACGACCCAAAGTCGACTATCATTCCCAGACAGCAATGTTTGTTTATCTCATGCCACGGCTAAGTTGCACCATTTCTGCTGAGGTCACCATTGGCCAGGGCCCTGCCATCAGTAGAAGTGGGCCATCTTTCGGTGTTTTTGAAAAAATAGCATATTGTGCAAAAAATATGGGTGGCTTATCTTTCGGGGGTGGCGGGCATCTGTCACGATAATACGGTAGGCATTCTTTAACTTTTTTTTTCACCGAATACTGATGGCGCACTAATTTGGCCGAACGTGCATTGGCAACACGAGAGAGGAAGGAGGTGTTGAGGCGTGCCCTCCGACTGGCGTTGCAGCGATCGTGGGTCGGCAAGGTCGGAGGGGAGATCAAGGACATGGAGTACTCGGAAAGCGAGGAAGAGACGGACGAAGACGAAGAGGAGCCGACCAATGCCAAGCAGCAGTCGAGCAAGAGGTAGGTGGTTGCTGATACCCTCAAAATAGCCCGAGTCGCAACTTGCATGTGGCACAGACCGCTTACCACGTATACTGCAAGAGCCGCAAAAACGTCCGCCATTGTAGTCTCTGGCAATGTGAAGATGGCAGTTGTCCCGCTTCCAGCACGAGCCATCTACCTTCCACAACGCCTGGACATCTCATGCTCCTTGAGCATGCGCGTGCACGGTTGAGGAGCAAAGCATGGCCGAGGGCAGTGGTTCTTAACCATTTATGTTCCGCGGACCCCTTTTGGATCGGCGGAGATGATGGGGGGCCCCGTTTGTGGTGAGGGGAAGGGAAAGGTATGGGTTAATTGTGGTAGTGATTTAGTTAGATGATACCGTCGAGCTCGGATATATTGAATTCAAAGGGAATCATAAAATAGTTTTATATCAATAATATGATATACAAAAATATGGTAAATTAAGCTAAAGTTAAATTTCCTGGCGTCTCTGCTAATACCAAAGGTCGTGACAGACGGGAGCTTACCAAATAGAGCATCCAAGAGCTGCTAAATACAGTAGAACATAGTTGGCGGAGACCAGCTGCGGAGACCGCAAACGGAGATCGCAAACACCGCCTTGGTATTGAATGCCCTCCCCTGCCCATGACGGTCCGGACGAGCATTGTACCAGTGTGCTGTCGTGCATCGCTGCTGCGAGATGCACATTAAAGGCCCCCAGGCTAGCAGTTGTGCTGCACTGGCTAATTTTCTCATCTACATGTAGTAGAGACACCAGATGCTTATTTGGGCTGACTAACTTCCTGCTGTCTAAACGAATACATGACACAGTGATTCTGCCAATGCCGTTTGGTGGTTACTTTTTATTTGTCTTGCCTCGTGAAGGAAACTCTATTTGTCAGTGGCATCGGAAAGTCGGCCCCTATCGACCACGACGGCCATTGCAAAATGAGCCTGTGCAAGGTGGTGTGGCAAGAACTCTGTCGACGGGAACGTTTCACTTTCCAAGAAAATCTCAATTACTAGCAATGTTTGGTCTCCAATGCACCCGTGTTTTATTACATTTAGACTCAGGTTAGCGGCATTCTTGAGCCACATTTCTGTGGAAGGTACGGTTCGCAAGTTTTCATGATCACCAATGCACACCTTTTTTTATGTTCACTTGCAGTTTGTCGGTCATTTCAAGTTCTCACAACACGTGGATATCTATAACTTAAGTAAAGAAATTGTCCAATTCAACGTTCTGAGCAAGCCCTGCCACATACCGTATTTATACGATTGTAAAACGACTCGTTTGTAAATCAACTCCGCGACATTGCTCATAAAAAAAATTGGGAGGCGAATTTTACGGCGAACACGTGAGAATGGCAGGGTATCTCTTTCGAAAGCCCAGCATCTAGCCCATGATCGATGCCTTCTGGCATGCTTTAGCTGCGCATGCATGCTCAAGGCACATGATATGCTCCGGCGTTATCGAAACTAGAAAGCTCACGTTGGAGGAGGGACAACTGAAGCTGCTCTTTGTCCATAATGGAATAAAACGGCACAAAGATACAAAAAGAAAGAGACAAACCAGACAGGACAGAGTGCGTGATTGGCGAGAGGGCAAGGTAGCCATGTTTATAGAATGTCTTTCTTTTAGGGGTGTGCGAATACTCGAATATACGAATTCGAATCGAATAGAAAGTTCCCGAACAATTCGATTCGCGAATCGAATTCCTAGTATTTGGTTCCTCGAATATTCAATATATTCGGCCAAAGACGCGCGGTGGGCGCGGAGCAAACAAAAAAGCAATTTTTTTTTCCTGATGTAAGCGCCGTGATGTTAGACAGACCATGCGAGAAACACCTCTTGGTCCGACCATTCCACAAAAATCTAACGCACAGGTTAGAAAACAGAAAAGTAACGAACGCCACAAACTTTATAACACGAAGATTTACTCACGATCATGACACAATCTACCCTTGAATCACGACTGAAACATCCCGCTTGCGCCGCTTCCAGAGAGGAATTGTTAGGAAGCCGGAATTCCGCGCCAAGCCTAATTCTTTTCACGAGTAAAACTCCTCGTTTCAAATTGAAGCGCCGATGTAAAACACACTTGCCGCACTCGCAGAAATCGGCTACTGCACCACTGCACGATCACAGAAAGAAAACCAACGTTACCATGCCGGCGAAACCAACCGAGTTATCGTAGTCGTTCTTTTGGAACCGCGAATTCTGATTGGGATTCCGAATCAGAACGACAACTCGGTTGGTTTCGCCGACGTGGTAACGTTGGTTTTCTTTCTGTGGTCGTGCAGTGGTGCAGTAGCCGATTTCTGCGAGTGCGGCAAGAGTGTTTTACATCGGCGCTTCAATTTGAAACGAGGGGCCACTGATGAGATCAGTGCGAGGGGCTTTACTCGTGAAAAGAATTAGGCTTGGCGCGGAAGAAACGGAACGGAAAAATAATGTGCCTAGATTTGAGAGGGTTTCCAACCGCTCGATAGCCGCGTTTGAATTACGAACTGCGAGAAGGCGCCAAAAAGACGAAATCGTCGGTCGGGTTCGGGCAGGCAGGGCAGGCGTCGCCGCTCTTCTGTTTGTTCGCCTTCTTTCCACGCGACAACACAACACATGCGCATTCACGATCAACCTGCGATGGAGCAGTCTCTGTGGTTTCGGTTTCGGTTGCTCCCTCTTTTAAATCAAGGCTCTCTAAAACAGGATAGATAAACGAAAAAATGGATGCGTAGCGGCAGTTGGACGGTGACTTGCGCCACCTAACCACGTTTTTTTTTCTTACTTTAGACTATATTGTTTAAGCCAGTTTACCTCGTTGCTGTTTACTCAGATTTAACACCTGTCTATTTATTTATGTGAAATCAAATCCCAGGTGCCATTTTCTTTCCTTAAAATGGAGACCAACTATCGCAAAATGCCAATTTTCTGAGATATACAAATATTTAAAAAAAAGAAGTTGCGGTGTTAGGTTGTGTTTTTAAAGAGAAAAAAAAGGCATGCATGGCTGAAACTTTTTTTTTTTTTTTTTGTGAAGTTTAGGGTAGATAGATTATGTTTGCACCATAAAATTGGATCTTTAGTGCCCAACGTTCAACAGCAACTGCTTTTTTTTTTTTTTCACCGAAACTTTTGTACATTTTGGCTTTTGTTTTGTACAGGACGTATATTCTGCACCAGGCGCATACTCTGCACATATAATAATCGCATTCTCAGCACACTTTGAAAAATTCCTACGAATAAAATCGCTATTCGATTCGATATTCGTTTTTTTTTTTTCTTGATTCGATTCGGTATTCGATTCGAAAGCTACTATTCGGTATTCGCACACCCCTACTTTCTTTTTCTCTACGTAACAGTTGAGTTTTGTAAAGTACACTCAAATCCTCACTGTACCATCTGGTTTTGGTACTATCACCATAGGTGCACACCAGTCCGTTGGCTTATCCACAGGAGATATAACTCGGATAGATTTCATCCGCTGCAGTTCTTTTTTGGTTTGCTGGTACAACGGTATGGGAACACGGCGTGGAGAACTCACAGCAAAGGGAGTTGCTTCGTCTTGGAATTGCACGTGGTAGGCGTCCTTGATGTGGCCTAATCCTTTGAAGAGAGCTGGGAACTCCTTTGTCACATTAAGCTGCGAGCTCCTTTGCGTTGGTCTGTTCTTTGAGGCAAGGCCGTCTACAAAAGAGGCAAAGCTCTCTCCTGTCTGGTTTGTCTCTTCCTTTTTGTATGTTTGTACTGTTTTATTCCATTATGTACAACGATTACCAACTAGCCCAGCTTTCAACCTTATTACAGTATAGACCACTTACAACGTAACCGCTTATAGTGCAGGACCGGGTATAACGCGGCTTTTCTAAACCACCGGTTCGCCTCCCATAGAACTCCATGTAATTACATACCGCTTAAAATGCGGGCTCGCGAAGGGAAATACCGGTTATAGTGCGGTTTCTGCAACAGCCCGGCGACCGCGCCGACTGACCGGCGCAGCGAGCACGCTTCCCTGTGCGACACTAGATAACGGCGCCAGCCTGGCGAGCCACAAGCGACACTCGCGGTCGCGGGCCGGCTGCTTCTATCCACAAACATGGCGTCGGTTGTGATCGTCGACGTAGACGGCGTGGTGGAAGCTCATCGTTCCGTGTAAAAGCGCTATCCTTGACTGTGAATTTTCGTTGCGTGCGTCACTATGATAACCCAGCACGTACTAGAAGGGAAGATCCACCTACTCGTGCGGCGATGTCGTGGCGGCACTCTCAAGACAGCAGAAACGCCCGTGTCGTCGTGTTTGTTTACTTCGACTACAGTGGTGATTTCTAAGCGTTTGTGTTTTCGAACATCGCCCGGGTTTCTTATTTGGAGCAGTTCATGCCTGTACTCAAGTTGAAGGTATTACTGGCGCGTACCGTATAAAGGATGCAAATTTTCACGCGTTTTCATCACTGGAGAAAAGTGATTAGGGTTAGCAATCCTGAACGTTCGCAACGTCCGTCTGCAACCCGCGACGCCGTTATAAGGCTGCGCTAGGCAAAAGTCGCTCATTTCAAAATGTGTGACACAATTGAGAGAGAAGTGTACCGGTCTGGTGAAATAAAGACTTTCCTCAAACTAAGCTTTATTTTTCATAAATTCTTTTACAAACGTAAGTTGTCTGGTGGCATGTGTTTTGGCCTGAAAAATTTATGTTTTGGTTATAGCGCGGTACCGCTTATAGTGCCGATTTTCGCGAGTTTCGCAACATATGTTATATGCGGTCTACACTGGACTGCCCCCTGTTGTTCTCACTGTGTCTGTGACTAGATGCTACAATTCGTCTGCACTGGTGATGTAAGTCCCGTTGTCATCACTGCTACGTTCTCAAAGCACGTCGGTGGTGTTGTCTAACAAAATTTTGCACTTCGCAAATGACAGCATCAGCCGCCGCATCTTCCGCTCCTGCTTGGTAATCGCGTTGCACGCCAGGGGTAAGGACTGATTGCTGTGCAGTTTTGCGGCGTACCATTGCAAGCCTGACCTCCCAACTCCGGACGGCATCCTCACCTATCGAGACTTTGGCCCACGGAAGCCTTCTCGTTTTCTGTCACAGTTAAGATCCCATGCCATTGCATACTGGAGGAACACCCACTTTGACTAATCGAACTTGCATCCAGCAGTGCAGTCGTTGGTTGCTTCTGGATAAAGGACTGCAGTAAAGGAGCACCGAAAACCTAAACTGCACGGATCACGTGTGTCAATACAAAAAAGCGTGGTTGGCACTCCAGCATGAACTCGACACTCGATCGAACAACTAGTGACCGTGAATCGTGTGAAAAACTGCGAAAAGAAGCCGCGGGGAGTGAGGCTGTTCCAGCAGCCTTCGGGGTGGCTTTTACAAGGAGTACTGCCACCCTCAAGAGTCGGGCACGCCGTGCGCCGTTCACCGCTGTACATTTGGGCGAAATTGTTAATAGCTGTCAATAATACTCGTTTGTGCAAACTAAAAAAAGAACCTGTAAAATGGGCGCACAGATTGGTGCAAGGCTACAGGTACAACTAGCTGAGCTCGTAACAACTCGAGGTGTTCTTGATACCGTGATTGTTTCGTTTTCGTCGGTGGTGGAATGCTTTGGTTTGATTGTAAGTCTACCCCCCCCCCCCCCCCCCTTTCAGATTTTCGAAAATTAAAAAATGGGTCAACCTACATTCGTTTAAATACGGCACTTATTACAGCAGAGTCCAAGCAGCGTTCGACAGTTACGAGGGATTTGATCAGGGCTTTAGGTTTTCCTCTGGGTGTTTCTCACCCTCGTTGAAACCAAAATTAAAAAATCCACGGTTGATGAAAGCACAAATTATGTGTGTACTCTTTTTTGACAACTCTTCTATAAAATGATCTCTTTCAGAGGCAAGGCTGGCGGCATGTTCAGCATGTTCCGGGGCCTGGTTGGTTCCAAAAGCATTGCTGCAGAGGACATGGTACCTGTCTTGGAGAAGCTGAGGGACCACCTCATCAGTGAGACACTCTCCTTGTTCGACACTTGTCAGTGCCCGGGTCGGGGTCGTGCATAGTGCCGAATTAAGCTCACTTAAATCGTGTTTAGGCTGGAGAAGCATTTTATCGTGGGGTTTAGTCTATACTTTTACCCGAGATTCTCAAAGGGTTGTTTCGACCGCTCGAAACTGGGAATAATTCGAATTGCCCGGGCTTGCCACGTTCGGGCCCATGCGTTAGATGACGCCAGTGCCGAGTTTGCTGAGGTCGGCATAGTTTCCGGTGCCGAATTTGTGTCAGACAAGCACTGCGCTGTACTTGCAAACGGGCCTCAACTCCCACTTCCGCCGTCCCGCCGCCCCTCTGCCGCAGCCAAGAACGTGGCGACGGACGTGGCTCAGAAGCTGTGCGACTCGGTGGCGGCCAAGCTGGAGGGCAAGGTGCTGGGCACCTTTGGCCGGGTGGCGTCCACAGTCAAGGCCACGTTGCACGAGTCCCTGGTGCAGCTGCTGTCCCCCCGGCGCCGCATCAACATCCTCCGAGACGTGCTCGAGTCGCAGCGCGCGCAGAGGCCCTACGTCATGACCTTCTGCGGAGTCAACGGCGTCGGAAAGTCCACCAACCTCGCCAAGGTGGGCTGTGACGCGACGTCGGGCACCTCAATGCGGTCGGCGACGCGTTTGAGTGACAAGCTCTGCGGAACCAAACGCATTTGTTTGCTTTCTGCAGTTGGCCGCTTTCTGCAGTTGCTAGCCGCTTTCTGCAGTTGCTAGCCGCTTTCTGCAGTTGGCAGCCGCTTTCTGCAGTTGGCAGCCGCTTTCTGCAGTTGGTAGTCGCTTTCTGCAGGCACGGTAAACATGTGCCCGCGACGGATCGTGTTATCTTATTTTTGCGTGTTTTTTTTGTGAGTTATCTTATTTTTGTACATATAATAAGCAAGCAGACATATCGAAGTGATTTCAGATTCCCGTTGACTTTGTTGTAACCGGTCTTGACAGATATAGCGTGGCTTTCTTACCTTTATTGTTTCTTTTTCCCGAGAAACCTAGTTTTGAGGTTGGCTTAGTCTCAAGAAAAAAACTGTTTTGACGGGCTCGCTCCCCCTGGCGCAGATCTGCTTCTGGCTGGTGGAGAACAACTGCCGCGTGCTGATTGCAGCCTGCGACACGTTCCGGGCAGGCGCCGTGGAGCAGCTGCGGACGCACATGCGGCACCTGAACGCCCTGCACCCGCCTGAGAAGCACTCTGGCAAGCAGATGGTGCAGCTGTACGAGAAGGGCTATGGCAAGGACGCCGCCGGCATTGCCATGGAGGCCATCAACTACGGTAGGCTGCGCTGCGGCATGCCCGGAACGAATCTTAGACTATGCGCACTTCGTTTCGCTTTGCAATGAGCTGCAAAGGATGCCACAAACCTTCTTAGCCGGTGGTTCTGAAGGAATTGGATCTTACAAAACACCTTCGTGCCTTGAATGACGGCAGAGAAGCCCTCCTGTTCTTGGTATCGATGGGGTAAAGCAGTGCGGAATTTGAGAGATACTGTAAACAATACTGCGGATGGGTGGAGATAGCTTTCACCCATAGTTAGGCATCAATGGGTGGCTCATATCTGCTAAAGCGGGATTTAATCTGAATATACACACCTAGAAGCTCCTCTCATTTACACTACTCTCAGTTTGATGTAATCTCAACATACACCTCTTAATTCGAAGGAATTTCACTACACTCCTTTCAGTCCGAGGGAATTTTCAATACATTCCCCTCAGGGGCTCATCTCACTCCTCTCAGTTACTCGTTTCAGTTCGACAGAATTTCACTACACTCCTTTCAGTCTGAGAAAAGTTTCAATACGCTTTCCTCAGGGGCTCATCTCGCTCCTCTCAGTTACGCTGTTCTCAGTTCTAGGGAATTTCAATACACTCCTTTCAGTCTGAGGGAATTTTCAATACACTTTTCTCAGGGGCTCATCTCACTCCTCTCAGTTACTCTTCTCAGTTTGAGGAAATTTCACTACACTCCTTTCAGTCCGAGAAAAGTTTCAATACGCTTTCCTCAGGGGCTCATGTCACACCTCTCAGTTACGCTGTTCTCAGTTCGGGGGAATTTCAATACACTCCTGTCAGTCTGAGGGAATTTTCAATACACTCCCCTCAGGGGCTCATGTCACTCCTCTCAGTTACGCTGTTCTCAGTTCGGGGGAATTTCAATACACTCCTGTCAGTCTGAGGGAATTTTCAATACACTCCCCTCAGGGGCTCATGTCACTCCTCTCATACATTCTTCTCAGTTCTAGGGAATTTCAATACACTCCTTTCAGTCTGAGGGAAGTTTCAATACACTCAGGGGCTCATCTCACTCCTCTCAGTTACTCTTCTCAGTTTGAGGAAATTTCACTACACTCCTTTCAGTCCGGGGGAAGTTTCAATGCGCTTTCTTCAGGGGCTCATCTCACTCTTCTCAGTTACGCTGTTCTCAGTTCGAGGGAATTTCAATACACTCCTTTCAGTCTGAGGGAATTTTCAATACACTCCCCTCTGGGGCTCATGTCACTCCTCTCAGTTACATTCTTCTCAGTTCTAGGGAATTTCAATACACTCCTTTCAGTCTGAGGAATTTTCAATACACTTTACTCAGGGGCTCATCTCACTCCTCTCAGTTACTCTTCTCAGTTTGAGGAAATTTCACTACACTCCTTTCAGTCTGAGAAAAGTTTCAATACGCTTTCCTCAGGGGCTCATCTCGCTCCTCTCAGTTACGCTGTTCTCAGTTCTAGGGAATTTCAATACACTCCTTTCAGTCTGAGGGAATTTTCAATACACTTTTCTCAGGGGCTCATCTCACTCCTCTCAGTTACTCTTCTCAGTTTGAGGAAATTTCACTACACTCCTTTCAGTCCGAGAAAAGTTTCAATACGCTTTCCTCAGGGGCTCATGTCACACCTCTCAGTTACGCTGTTCTCAGTTCGGGGGAATTTCAATACACTCCTGTCAGTCTGAGGGAATTTTCAATACACTCCCCTCAGGGGCTCATGTCACTCCTCTCAGTTACGCTGTTCTCAGTTCGGGGGAATTTCAATACACTCCTGTCAGTCTGAGGGAATTTTCAATACACTCCCCTCAGGGGCTCATGTCACTCCTCTCATACACTCTTCTCAGTTCTAGGGAATTTCAATACAGTCCTGTCAATCTGAGGGAATTTTCAATACACTCCCCTCAGGGGCTCATGTCACTCCTCTCAGTTACACTCTTCTCAGTTCTAGGGAATTTCAATACACTCCTTTCAGTCTGAGGGAATTTTCAATACACTTTTCTCAGGGGCTCATCTCACTCCTCTCAGTTTGAGGAAATTTCACTACACTCCTTTCAGTCCGGGGGAATTTTCAATGCGCTTTCTTCAGGGGCTCATCTCACTCTTCTCAGTTACGCTGTTCTCAGTTCTAGGTAATTTCAATACACTCCTTTCAGTCTGAGGGAATTTTCTATACACTCCCCTCTGGGGCTCATGTCACTCCTCTCAGTTACACTCTTCTCAGTTCTAGGGAATTTCAATACACTCCTTTCAGTCTGAGGGAATTTTCATTACACTCCCCTCTGGGGCTCATGTCACTCCTCTCAGTTATACTCTTCTCAGTTTGAGGGAATTTCAATACACTCCTTTCAGTCTGAGGGAGTTTTCTATACACTCCTCTGAGAGGCTCATCTCACTCTTCTCAGTTAAGGGGGGATACAACCCCGAAATTCCATTTTTTTTCGAAAAAATGCATTTTTAAAAAATATTATATTTGGGTTCACTATATTCTGGAGCATAGTTTCAGAAAGTTTCATTTATAAATACGCAGTATTTATTTCGCAAAAAATTATTTTCGACAAGCTCGCGGCCGCGCGGGCTGCGCGCGGCGATCCGCCGTGCGAGCAGAACAGCGAAGTTCGGCATTTTCAAATTAGGCCTACTCCGCGCTCGTTCGACGCAGCCGAGGTATCTTACCCTCGTTGGAAGCGCCGTTTCTTCTAGTTTCTGCCCATAGAAGCTTGCTACATTGGAGGCTATCTGTGGCCCGGGAGAACCCCGTACAAACAAGCCGAAAAAACGTGGGAACTGTGATACCAGCAATCCCATTGGTTGCGACCCGAAACGGGGCTCATGATTGGCCGCCTTCGGTGACGTAGCTCCTTGTTCGCCTGATACGCGCGCTTTCGGCTGCTTCTTTCGCTTCTGATCGTATCGCTACTTCGCCGCTGTTTAGATTCGTTTTCCCTTTTTGTTCCCGGTAGCTTTGTTCCCGGTAGTTTTTCTGCCGAGGAACGCCTGCCTCCAAGGTTAGCACTCGCAGTAGCTTTGGCCGGCGTTCTCGATGGCGAAAACCGAGGGGTCGATCAGCGGTACTCCACGGAAAGGACGGGGACCCGTCTCCGCCGGCACCATCGTCGCCGTCTCCGCCGCCGCCGTCACCATCACCATCTTCAAGCTCAAGTGCGGCTTTGCGGACATTGGAGCCTACAGCTTCATCTCCGAATGCTCATCGGCTTCCTGTCTCCTCCGAATCGGATGTGCTGACCACGTTCGAGAAGAAGCTCAGCCTGCTCGATTTTGACGCGGGGACTACGGACGACCCTGAGCCGACAGACGCTCCCGTTGAAAAGCCGCTGGACGGCTATCGGCTCCTCAGTGTGTCGGCCGTGCAAACTCTTGTTGCGGCTTTGCTCTGCCCCAAGTGCCACGGAGAACTGCTGAGCTTGCGAGAAGAAGGAATTGGCGTCAACCTTCAGTTCGTTGTTAGCTGCTCGACTTGCGGAGACATCGTCACGACACCGCATTCACCGTCAATTGGCAAGTCTCGACAGAACGAACTCGCGGTGCGTCTCGGCGTCGTTGGAAGAGACTGTGGCATCAGTTTTACGAAGCTCACGAATCTTTTCGGGGGCCTCAACGCTCCGCCCCCGATGCACGTCAAGTCGTACCAGAAGATCGCGGCGAAAGTACACGATGCGGCGATGCAAGCGGCGAGTGACGCAATGAGGGACGCTGCGCAAGCCGTGAGGGGCGCGCAACCGACCGGGAACCCGAGCGCCGGCAGCGATCGTTTAGATGTCTGCATCAGCTACGATGGCACGTGGCATAAACGTGGCCATACATCGCACTTCGGAGTTGGCGTTGCTATCGAACTGGAGACCGGCTTGGTGCTTGACTTTTCGGTCCAGAGCAAGTATTGCCACGGGTGCGAGTTGGGCCCCAATGAAGACGACGAACACTTCGAGGAGTGGGCAGAAACCCACAAGGCAACTTGCCAGAAGAACTACGAGGGATCGTCCAATGCAATGGAGGTACAGGCGGCTGCAACCATCTTCAGCCGGTCTATTGAGCTACACAATATGCAGTACGTCACTGTTTTGTGCGACGGCGACAGCAAGGCCTTCACGCATGTGTCCAGCCTTGACCTGTACGACAAGGACATCCACAAGGAGGATTGCATCAATCACGTAGCAAAGAGGATGTATGCAGGTCTGGAGAAACTCAAGAAAACAAAAAAAGGACTGGGAGGAAAAGGGAAGCTGACCAACGTAGTGATGAAAAAGCTGACGAACTACTATGCTTGCGCTTTGAAGGACAACGCGCCTGATGGCGTGAAGATGCAGCGAGCCATCTTTGCCAGCCTGTTCCACACGTACTCCACAGACGAGGAGCCCCGTCACGTGGGCTGTCCAGATGGCGAGGATTCGTGGTGCCATTATAACCGCCACAAGGCCCTTGAAGCAGCAGGGAAGCCTTCGACACCACGGCCACACAGACCAGCATTCTCCAAAGACGTTGCAAGAGAGCTTGTTCCAGTGTACAACCGGCTGTCGCGAAAGGAGTTGCTCCTCCGATGCTCCCGCATGATGACACAAAATGCGAACGAGTCTTTCAACGCCCTTATTTGGAAGCGATGCCCCAAGACGGAGTTCGCCTCCTTGCGAACTGTCGAGACAGCTGTCGCCCTAGCTGTCCTCGAGTTCAACCTTGGACCTAAAGGTTTCGAAAGGACGCTCCAAAAGATGGGCATCACCCCAGGAAGCCACCAGGAGAAGCATGCCCACAAGGTGACTCTGGGGAAGATCGTGAAGGCACAGGACTCATCAAAGCTCGCACACAAAAGACGGAAGCTGGAGGCTATTGCCAGGGAGCAACAGAGCCTGGAGGTCGAAGGTGCCACCTATGTCCCAGGCGGATTTTGAGAACAAGCCGCAAGCTGCTGCCAGCAAGCAATGCGCCCATGAAGTTGAAGGTGCCACCAATGACTCGGTTGGATTTCAAGTTTCTGGCATCGTCCGAAAATAAAAAAAAACAGA